ATCGACACCCGGAATCAAGGATGAAAATCCGGCAACGTCGCGCTAAAATCTTCGGCGAACCGAACGGGGAACACTAATAAAACCCGTACGGAACCGCGCGCCTTCAAACGTCCGCCAACGAGCACCGTGCTCTGGCCCGCGAAATTCGCGTTTGTATCGACTGTTTTTTTTTTCTCCAAGAAATAATAACGATTTTCCCTAGAAACTGTCAATTGTGTCGTCGTACCGTTTACACCGCACGGTTGTCGGTATGCAACGTGACATCGTGTAACGGACCGAACCCGTACGGTTTCTGTTCCGAAAACGAGATCGAGGTTTTTGCGCAATATTCATCACCCATGAACACATTATTTCCGTCGGGATTTTATTATTTGTAATCCGTCCGCCGGAAGAATACGACGGCTTCGGGAGAAAGGGAACGGGTACCGGCGCTGCTCTCTCGCGGTCTAATACGGACACTAACTGTTATTAATAACCTGGGCCGTGCCGCATCGTGACATCGCCTTTGTCTCGCCAAAAACGGCGGCCGACCTTGAATTCCCTCCGCTCTTCGTCGCGTCTGTGAACACCACAGTGGTTCCCATTATCCCCGTAGAGCGTTGGACGCGGACAAAGGGATATCGTCGGCCTTCAATATTGTACACGAAGAACCGCAGTCACCGTCCGGTGTCGGCTGCCATTTTGTTGCGGGGGAGGGGGTGGGGTCTCTTTTGGTTTTTTTTTTCCGACCATCGCGATGTCGTCGGCCGTATTTCCGAACCCCGACCGGCCCCGCGCGTAAATCGAACGCGCGTGTTCGACGTCTAGAATATTGTGGAATCGTAATGGAGAACGGACGACGGGCGCACGTCGCGGCCCAGATGAAAAATCACCATTTGCCGGACATTTACTGTCAAAGGTAGAGGTTAGGTTAGGGGCCCGACCCCCTCGGGAATTTCGCGGAAGCCACGCGACGGTACGCGGACGTCTGACGAGAGTCTCGAACGGGGTTCTCGCCGACGAGGCAGACGAACGCGAATTTCGGTTTTTATTCGATTACTCGACGGCGGCGCGTGTGATATCGCCGCGTCCGGTCGTTCGCGGTCCTCCCGGTTTTCGGGGAAATCACTACTGACACGCGGCAATACGGAACAACACGTTCACGCCCGGGCCGTATTCGCTTTGTCACGGGCGTACGAACCCAAACCCCCCGCCGACCCCGCCACTCACCCGACGCCGAAATGGCGAACAACACCTACGGGCCGTACAAACGTTTACTCGACGACCGGCCGCTCGCCGTCGACTAAACGCTCCTAACGTCCGTGTGCGAGCGTGCGAACAGAATCGGGAGGACCGAGGGATACCGGCCGATCGGTGTCGACACCGCGGCGTAGACGACGTAAACGGGCGCGCTGCGGTTTCCCTCGCGTCGGTCTGTCCGCGCGACGAAGAGAGCGACAGCCGCGCAAGAGAGACGCAACGATAACGCGTTCTCGGTTTTCTCTCGCCGCGCGCATGTGTTCCCACTCACGGCTGTCGGTCGGTACCGCTCCCGTCCACTCCGCCCGCCTACAGATCGCACGCCCGCCACCGCCGTCGCGACGGGTACACCAACGCTGCGGGCACGCAGATGCGAACAAAATACACCGCACGCCGGCAACGTTTCGTTTCGACGGTCTTGCCGCGCGCGCCACGGCCACCGTTTTAACGGGTAACGCGACCACGCGGCGTGTCGCCCGTCGACGACGGCCGAAACGCCGTGGGCGCGCGCGCGCGCGTAATGCTTGCGCGGTCCGTCCGGCGACGGGGTAGCGCGGACGCACCGTCAGGCTCGCCACCGGTAACAATCGTTTCCGACCGAACGAGTGGTCGACGCTCAGAGCGGTCAGCTGCTGCCGTGTTCCCGGGCGCGTTGGCTCGGGACAGCGGCCTTCGACAATTACGCGGCCCCGCGTTTTCACGCGTGCATTTCTTACGCGACCCGAGGAGCAAAACCGCGTTTGTAGCGAAACGAACGAAAAACGTCGGCAATTATAACATAACGCCAGTGTCGCCGGTACACAATTACGACCGAACAAATGAAAACTCCGTTGTCGGACGAAATGAACGCAAAAAAAAAAAAAAAAAACGAAAAACGTTCTAATTCTATCACCCGTCCGGTTTACCCGTGAATTATCGCGTGCGATATTTCAATGCGACATCACGTAGAACCGCACCAGCGTATTATGGAAACGCACAACTGCGATCCGATGTCCGTTACGACATCATTATATTAACAGAACACCAATATCGCCGACGCGTCGCAACAATACCGCGATCGTTTTTCCACCCGCGTTTTCATTTATTTATTGTCCGAGTTTAATAATCGAACAATCGTGTTTACGTACGTTATGCAAAACTGTGCGAACTCGGTTTTCGTTAAATCTAAACAGAGAACTTGTCGCGGCGCGATTTCAGAGCGTACGCGGCCCGCCGGTTCAGAACGCGATCGCGGATTAAAGCGCATTATATCCGGACGCGCGCCGTCGAGCACGTCGCTACTGCGCGTAGGTATCGGAATCGGGATTCACGCGTACGGCTCGGACGACGTCGCGTTTCCGTCGGTTTACACCCGAGGTCTGCGAAAATTCTCTATGGATTTACCGGGTGGCGCGGCCGGGAGTTGCGTTTTCCCTGGTTATTCGCATTTACTGGGGAAAAGTGCGCAACACGGATGAAATATCGTCGAGACGATCCGTTTTAAATGTTAAGGTATCGATAAAAACTCCCGAGGAAAACCGTTGTTTGCAAACGGTAAATGCGACCGTCACACATTCGGGAGAAATTGAAGAAAAAAAAATAATAATAATAAAAAAAAAAAAACCCGCGACGTTCCGGACGCTCCGGAACAATACGTTCACCGTCGACTCTGCGGTCGGTGTCGTTGTTTACCGTTGAAATCGAAATTGAGCGAGCGCCGTGTGCAGTGCACTTTTTCCACTACGTCGGGCAAATATTAATGTGGCGGGGGTGGTGGTGGTGGTAGGGTTGAGGGAGGGCTTAAACAGTTCCTAAACGCTTCCGAGCGCCCGCAAGCGACTTTCCCACACAAACGAACGTATGGCAGACGCGCTCTGCCGTACTCGGGCCGCCCAATGATTTGTTACGAATATAATAGATTCGTTTAAAAACGACGAACGTTAATGCGTTTTTAAACGCGCACTGTCGACAACGAAGCCACCGCAGAGGACACAATTCAATCGACGTGCACTAAAAATACCACAGTTTTCCGTTTCGCCGGTTATTTTTATCGGTAGAGTCGGCGATCTCGGGTTCGGTCGACGCGACAGATAAGAAATTCTATAGCGACGTTGTTTGTGCGACGCGTAAGCGAACTACGGATTCGTATCGGATTGACCGAATTACTACCGTGGTCGTGAATCAAAACGGAACGCGCTGTTTGACAATCGGTACAATACCACTGGGTATCAATCACGCGCGAAACACGTCGCGTTAAAAAGAACGCGTACAATGTGCCGCGTACACAATAATTATTATCATTAAGAATAGTCGCATATGTTTTTTTTTTACGGGGGCCGAGCCCCGAGTAACGGCCGGAAAACACGTAAAAAGAGCGGGGAAAATGTACGTAAAATAATTGTCCGATTATTCGAAACGTTCTGTTCGCGTAACGCAACTCGGTCGGAAATATCCGTAGACCGGGAATTTCGGCGGGAGACACATACGCGCATTTTTTTTTTTTTTTTTTATCGCTTCTCCCGTCCGTTGTTCGCAAACGACGTCGACTCGATCGAAAACGCTACACGGGAATTCGAGTTCCCCGGCGCGTTTTCCCAACGACATTTTTTCGTCGAGACCGACCCCTCGAGTTTTCGCCGGTGCAACGTACGCCGCGTGCGCGTCGGCGAAAATCCAACCGCGGGAAACATCGCGGACCGCGGTGACGGTGATTTCTCCGTGCGATCGTTTCCGAACCGAAAACCGATAGGTAACACAAAAACCGTCGCGTTCATTTGCGTGCAAGTCTCGCGTCGATTGTAAATAATGAATAGAAAAAAAAAAAAAAGCAAAAGGACAATAATGTACGACGAACGATTGTTAAAATTGTAAATTTTTTTTTTTTTTTTTCGTACGCGATTTTGGCAAGTCTAAACCCGATCCGAAACCGTGGGCTTCCCGTCGAATGTGCGCTTTCTTCGTTTTTCGAACGCCGAACGAGCCGCGGTTTTTCCCGTATAAAGGCGCCGCACGTTTGAAACGCGCGCGCGCCACGCTCGTATTTCGAAATATCCAAAACGGCAATATTTTTATCGTAACGGCGGCCGTTGCGGTATGCTCCCGTTGCGGGCGTCCGTCTGGTACGGCAACGAAGGGGAATATCGTTTCGAGAGATTTTTATCGACACGCGCGTTCGAACAGGGAAAAAAACGGCGAAACACCGGATTTACGTAGATAAAAAAAAAAAAAACAGTGCATTTATTATTACGGCAATACAACACGGAACCGTTGGGCGGTGCCCGATTGACATTGACCCCCGCGGGTAACACGTTACAAACAAAACAGCGTCGGGGGCAACGGTCGCCGGTTGCGCCCGGCGATTTATCCCGGGCGGGGGCCACGAACCCGTACGGGTTCGTCCGCCCGCCGGGGCATCACTTCACGCGGCGGGCGGTCGAATTCCCGGGCGCGCCGACCACTCCGCGGTTTCGCATGCGGTACGGCCGCGACACGTTTACAAAAAACACGTACCGCGCGCGGCGACGGCGGCGGCACGCTATAGAAACGGATTGCCGAACCGCACGTTTTTTTTTGTTTTCTCCACTCTTCGATTTCACAAAAATTCGATATTTTTTGTTCAATGTCGTTGCATACGGCGTGCGTACGTAACAATATTATTTTAGCATCCAACTCGGCTGCGGCCAATCTTCGTTATTAGGGGTGGTATTTACACGGACATAATAATAATAATAATAATAATAATAATATTTTTAAAAAAAAAAAAAAACTTATATTAATTATTTTTTCTCAGTCATTCGTTCTCGTTTTCCGACAAAGACGAATCGTTCAGTTTGATCGTTACGTCCGCGCTGTAGTTGTCGAGCATGTCGTCCATTACGTCGTCGAGGTTCCAGAATGTCCTCTCCTCGCGGCGGGTCTGACGTTCGAAATCCAACCAATTGTCCGCGGTCAGTCGGTTCATGGCGTCGACGACCGACCGTCGGGCCACGTCGAAACGGTCGCACCGGACGTCGCGGGATTTCAAATCGGCCTTGATCGCGGACCAAGCCAGTTCGACGGGGTTTAACGTGCCGTGGTACGGCGGCAACCGCAAAACGATTCTGTCCTCGCCCCGGGCGATTTCGTCCATCACGTATTTGTCGTAGTGGACCTGATGGGACGCCACCAACCGCAGCAGTTCGGCTTTGGCGTACGCCTGGGAATCAACCGAGACGTGTTTACTCTCGAGCCACTGCACGATTTGCCATTTTTTCCACGACGACGACGGAATCTGTTCGAGTTTCGCACAGTGATACGGGGCGTTGTCGACGACCACGACCGACCCGGCGTCCAGCAACGACAACGTCTGTTTGAACCACTCCGTAAACTGGTCGCCGTCCAACTCGTACCGGTAGTCCGCGCTGTTCGTTTTCGACTCGAAGCACCAGAGGGCGCCGTCCACGAAACCTCGGTTAGACGCAATGTGCACCATGGTGACGGTAGGACCGACGTTCGCGCTCGTCTCGTCCAAATAATATATCGTCCTCCCTTCTTCGCGGTACTTCCGTATGTCCCGCAGATAGTTCCGGCGCCAGATAATCAGATCATCAGAGTCCGTCAACACGCCGTTCCGCAGCTGCCGCCTGAACACGAATTTCAGCTCCTTCAGCAGCATGTACATCGACGACCGTTTCAGCGTCGGGAGGTTTTCGTCGTCGACCGCGGCCGACACGATTTTGTCGAGCATGGGGAACTCCCCGTTTAACCAGAACGAGTACACTTTCCGCCTCATGGCGTTCCGGTCGATTTCGTTGATTTCGTCCAGCAGCCTCGACCTCACTTTCTTCAAGACGGGCGCTTTTATCGACTTGGTATTGTGGTACTCGGACAAGACGCGCTGGACGCTCGTCGTGCCGACGCCGGTTCTTTCCGAGATAGTTTTCGTCAGCAGTTTGTACGTGATTTTGGGATTTTCCGCTTTTAAGGCCATATAGACATTGATGATTGATAATTTTTTACCGATACTAATGGGCTGGAAAAAGAAAATTATTTATTTAAAAAACAATTCGCTAAAATCGTCATCGACGACGACGACGATAATAATAATGTAAACGCCCGACGACGTCACTTACCTGGCCTCTTTTATTTTTGCTGACCGAGGGCGTCGTCAACTCGGAAATAATTCCCGTTTCGTCCATTTGGCTGGGGGAAATTAACGAGACTGCGGGTTTCTGGCGGACACGGACGAACAACACGCCGCAACGACACACGTCGCGGATCGGGCAACACTACCGTCGAGCCTCGACCGTCGTCGTCGCGAGACGGCGGCGCGGAGGAATTGGACGATCGACCCGCGCCGCTGGCCGGTTGCGCGGTGGGAGAACGCCGTAGCGGAGCCGCATCGACGCGTTGTCGGGTAGAGCGATTGTCGTCGATTCGGCCGGCGCGGCGGCTACGCGGTCCGTACCCGGTCGTCCGGTGAACGTTACCCGGTTCGCGCCGCCTCGGTCTCGCGCGGCTCCGGATAGTATTTGGTGTTTTGTTATTGCGTCGCGCGCGTTTTCGACCGCGTGCGTGAACGCGACGGTTTGTGTTTCACGAACGCCGGCAAATTACCCGGCGTTTGCGATAATTCTTTACGATTGTATTACTGTTTTGATATTTCCTTAAAATGGCGCGCGGTCCCGACGATCGTTTCTCGCGGTCCGTTTTCCGCGCACGTTCGGGTAATAATTTACGCGTCGGGCCGAGGCGCACATCGTGGCCCGACCGCGGGTAACACGTTTTTCGAGAGGGGACGCGGTGCGGGTATACCGATTTCGTAATAATGATTTACGCCTCCGTACTACGGAGACTCGCGTTTTTACTTTTTACCGAACACATTCGGCGTCGCAAACGGTCTATCGTTGCAAGGTACGGCTATCGTTACGATCCGGATTTATATTCTCTTTAAACGCGTACACAGTTCGATGCTAACATTCTCTAGGGGAAAAAAAACTAACTACAAAATATATTCTCCTCCATTCGCGATAAAAAGCAATTACAGGTGCGCTGTAGTTACATATACTAACGGGGCTACTGTCTACGGCGATAACTGATAATAATCGATTTCACAATGCCAATTGTTAATTCAATTTGTTTGGTATTTTTTTTAAATGAATAATTGAATCTATTTTATTCGATTTCATAATACCTACCTAATCAACAAACGGAGAGAAAAAAATGTTTTCTTCGGTTGTTGAGCTAACTGACACTGTGAGTTTTATTGGCGACTTTAAGCGACCATTGATTGCGGATACGCAAATAATGAAATGTAACCACATTGTTGATATGCGTCTTCGCCCGTTGAGACATTGTGGTATAATAGTGAAACCGCCTAAATTTGTTTCTTTTTTCATACGTAATACGGTCGCTGACTTTTAATAATTTCCAAGGAAAAAAATGTCGAAAAACAATGTGTGCCCCAAAGAGTTAACAACTAGTGATCTTGGTGGAAAACCCATATGTTTCTACGTTCCCTATGAAGTCTATGGAATCGTTGAAATCGCACCCATTACATAACGACGATATTAAAGCACATAACAGTTGGTAAGTATTATGCGTAATTTGAGCGTTATTTCTAAATTATAATAATAACTTATTGTAAATCGTGAGAAGTCACATTTAATAAACCGTTTGCTGCATTTTCATTTTTAAACTCTTCCTCGACCCAAAACTTAAAAGCGGAATATCTTGTCAACGGATTGACGGAAATCACTAAATAACGACCGATTAGTGAAATGACACGGACTAAGATGTACAGGACAGGAAACAAAGACCGAATCAGTAGACTATAGTTGATTTCACGAAAAGTGGCCATCCACGGTGGCGAGCCTAGTAGACTATTTGACGCATGGGCTCTAAAACAAGCGTGAAACAAAGCGCGGCAAGTTTAAATTAATCACTTATTTGTATATTATCTTATATATGATTATTTTTATACCGTAATTTAATTGCAATATTTCATAATACAAATTATGAACAATTCAGCTAATTTAGTATCACGATTTTTATTTGTCTGCAAATAAAAATAATACAATTAATAAATATAACATTAAAAAAAATATGAGAACCACTGGTTTGAAGAAATACCGCCACAAGGCATGCCACCGTCGAAGGCCACTTTTCGTGAAAAGCACTATAGAATGTTTCCAAACGATACTACTTGTGTACCTAGCGCTATCTATGTAGAGAATCAAAAATCAGTTGCTTCATTATGTTTTTTTTTCATGTTTTAAAATTTTAACTACTCCTTTGTTAATTATTTTGTACGTATTGTAAATATTAATGCAATATGTTATAATAAAACAAAATTACTTACATACGTAGATAATAGAACAAATTATTTTGTGCTCATGAAAATTCATCGATAGCTGACTATTTTGATAGACTTTTGTTTCATTTCACTCCAAAACAAGGAACTTTAAGAACAGTAAAAATTGTAACAAAGGAATTTGTGGACATAAGAAAGGCTCGGGAGATGAATGGGAAAAATATTGTAATGATTTTACTAAAACTTATCACTTTGTACCAATTTAAGTGCTGAACTAATTCTATTATGTATAAAAAATATAAAATTCTTGGTTATGTATAAAACAACACGTCAATTATTTTAAAATAACAATGTACGTTTTATAATAAACTCTTATATAACTCTTGTAAATGTAATCGCCGAACATTGTAGAAGCATTTTTAAACTTTAAATAGTTTAAACCCGAATAATTGTTTGTATATTATAAATTTGTATTACGATTTAAGATATACTTAAGACATAATATCTTAAACCGTGATAAAAACAACGCATTTTCCATATTTTCATAATTTCGTAGGTATCGCGAATTCGTGTTTCGTATCAATTTAGTAGTACTCATATATCACCACCAGGTAGCAGTTACGATCACCGTTGTACCGAACCGAAACATCTGGGAGCCATTCCCCCACTTCCCACCCAAATTAATCATTTATGCCAGTCTTGTACGCATCTTAGTCCGTGGTGAAATGATTATAAAACAGCCACACAGGTAGTGATTACTTACTTTTTGATTTTAATTTATACTTGCAATTACAATTTTGCATAATAATCGTCTTATCAATATTCACTTAGGTCAATTTGGTTAACTCGGGAAAATAATTTACAAGTACCCAATAATAAATCTTATTTCATCAGAAAAAACCGGGAATTTTTAAATAATCGTTAAATATCTTCTTGAAAACCAAGCCGGTGTAACTGTTGATTTCGACTCGCCAACGATTCGTACTGGTGGAGTCGGTCGATTTCGTATGCGAGTCGAAAAATTCAAGAACATTTTTTTTTATTCTAACGGTATTCACTGTGATTACTTTTTTTTATTGTAGCCAATTGTAGGCGACTTACTATTTACTGTCCGCGCCACTTCAAAATTAACAATCAATATAAATTACAATCGTATTATATTATTGATTTTTTCCGTGATGATTTTCCGACTTGTATTCGTGTTTTACTATTTCTACGTTATAACGTGATATTTTTCTGGTATAATAGCATTGCAGTTATAACAGTTACGCGATCGTCTTCTACGAAACATACAATCTGTTATCGCAATTCATTCGTCTTGTATTTGTCGTGTATGAGCAGCGTGTGTCTGTGTGTACGCGTGCCAATTTCTGGAAAACATCTACAAAATGATATGGTTCTATGAACCTGGGATACGGGTACCTTTTAATGCTCATAATAATAATAATTATGATCTATGATATTATCGATAGATATTGATAATATTCGTTCGTGATCTTTCATTTGGTCAACTAATACGGTTTTTGTTTCATTCCATTTCGAGTAGTCTCTCGTGCGGCGTGTACAGCCTTAACTTTCACGTTTTTATTTGCAAACTTATAATAACTAATAAGTATTCTTTTCGGTTTACAAAATCATCGGATGACTTTTTTTTTTCTTTTCTAAAAGCATTTTGAAATCAAATTACACGAAAATCGCAAAAAAAAAAAAATAAAAATATTACGGCACTCCAAATTATGTATTGCCGAACTGCGTTCGGAATCGTTTTTCGTCAAGCAATGGTTTGTCGTTGCTTACGGACATAAATGAAATAACCTTATGCATCCTACCTTCCCAACGTCTCACCTACAACAGTGACCGTACCCGTCTCCAGTATTAGCTTTTTTTTTTTTTTTACACACGATGTTTGCTACCAGAAACATTGTTTTAATCAAAATATGCCCAGCGACCTTTTTTGTTGCTTAGAATATCTAACCACTGACAGTCAAAGTCATTTATTGATACCCAATGTAGTTTTAACCAGCCAAACAGTAACTGACAATAAACACTGTAAATGCAAAATGAGTTAATGAGTATTTAATAATTTACATTTCAGTATTTTAATTCACTTAAACATTTCATGTTTATTACATAGTATACACGGTAACAAATTATATAATGATAAGAATAATACCACTATTATCCCGATGAAAAATAGCCTATATTAGCCTCTGATAATTTGCTCCTCGAGTTGTCCCTAGACGTTCATGTTCAAAACGAATATAGTTATCACGGTTCGTTCCATTAGAAATACATGGTTAGAAAAAAATTGATTCATTTGGCGGTTTTATTTTTTTCTTGAACTGCTAAATATTAAAAACATATACACCACAAGTTTATACATATACAGGTTGGCCAAAAGTCAGTTCCCATTGGCATAGGCGAAACTTGACATTTTCATTAGACTGGGCCATTCATGAGAGCCATTTTATATCTATCAATGATAAGATTTTCTAAAACTGTACTTGGACTCGGTTATTCAGATTTTTACTCAAATTTGCGTTTTCAATGTTATAATTATTATTATTAAGTACTGCCTAGTAGTATGATAGGCTATCATACCAAAATCAAATAGGGAACACCAATGTTTTTTATTACAATAAAAAGTTATAACATAAGTAGATATTGATAACATAAATCTAAAATTATATAACTTGCTATTTATATCATACATATGAAATAGAGATACTAAATACATTTTAACCTTAAAGCTAATATTTATAAAGTTAAACGACGTTCATATAGGACTATACATTTAAAATTTTTAACCACATCATTGATGTCGACATTTTTTGCCATGGTTTGTTCAATGTACGGAAGCATTCAATTTTCCAATCGTTCTTGAGTCGATCGTAGTTTAGTTTTAACATGAGTTAGCTTTGAAAAAGCTCTTTCACATAAAACACTTGTGACAGGTGTTATAGAGAAACATTTTAAAGCATGTTGAAAAAAAAAATGGTCTTAACACCATTTTAACCAAAATGTACAGACTTTATTGGTAGCTAAGAATATCACCTGAATCTATGTTTCGTGCCTTTGAAAGACGTATTTCACTCTCAAATTCACATTAGCCTGGGCCAGGACCCAGGCCATGGTTTCGCCTATGTTCGTGGGTCAAAAATTAGTTCCTACATTATTTAAATTTAAAAAAAAAATGGATACTTATAAACTTTTTTATTACTTTATTGTTGTATATAACAGTAAGTGAAAACAGTGAGCCACAAATCCACAACATTCTTTCTGCCTTCCCAGTAGTATGTTTTTATAATAAATACGCGTTCCTCCGTCGTCATTTTTGGTAGTTTTAAATTAGAAAATTAAAAAAATAACAACTTTTCGTACGTTTTAACTATAAACACGCGTTCGTCCGTTATCGATATGAACATAATTATAAATGATATGCAAAAACAATAACAAGTGATAACAAACAATGCTATCTAGTTTAGATGTTGCTTCAATAAAAATCATTGGTTGTAGGGGTAAAGGGTAAAAGTTTACATGAATTGCTAAAAGCTCACCACGCCATTGTGTTACCTGCCAGCTTTATATTTCCCTTCTCTAGTATGTAAACGATTGATCAGGTTTCCCTCTTTATTTCAATGTCCAACTTCATGATCTACGGGAAGGTATAAGTGACTGCAAGCCGATTTTTCGCAGGCGTATTTTTATAAAATTAAATTGGGCTGGTGTTTTGAAAAAACGGGTACTGACTTTTGGCCCACCCGTATACTGACCAAATTCATGAAAATAAACTCTTCTACGTAAATACAAAAAGTTTAGATAGTTGTCATCCGTGTGGCAATTAAGAGTCACTGGTTTTCATTTTGAATAGTTTTTTTTTATGTGAGTGGCAATTTGTACAAATTTAACAAAAATTTAAATTTGTTAAATAATTTTGTCTTAGTGCCAAAATGATTCATTATTTGGTTCCATTGTGTTCATACATTTCTAACAGAGAAACCTGTAAGTTCTTTAGAATTCCTGCGAATGACGTTGTATGTAAAATTTGGAGTAAATCCGTGAGGTAAATTACGTTTTAAATAGGTATGTTTTTGTTAAATACTCATATGTATATATTATATACATAATTGATTAAAAGTTAAAGCTTATGGTTTTACAAAGATGTTAACAACTTTTCTACCAAAAGATTTGCTCAGATTTCTAAGTGTAGTACCTTTTCTGAAATCACTATTTTACGATTTTCTCAAGAGTTTTAACATAAAATATGAAAAACCGGAAAAAAAGGGAAAATACACGAAACATATTACTATTTATTTTTCTTGTGCACAGCTTTTCAACCATCAATTTTGCTCAAACTTTAATGATAGCAATGTTTTTAAAAGGAAATTTCACTAGGGAGGTACTTTAAAGAGGTCATTTTTGTCAAACTATTAACAAGATATTCTACTTTTAAGTTTGAATTGGAGGAGAGTAATGGAGTATCATTTGTGTAGCGGCATTGTGGGTAGCATGATAGTAATGCACCACTAATCTACTTCAACCTAAAATTAAAAGTGGAATCAACAGTTAAACGGAAATCAAAAATTTCAACACTAAAATTTAAAAAAAGAATATCGGCAGAGTTATTAGCATAGGGATAACACTGTAGGCCACCCTATACATTAGCATTATTATTAAACAATTGATTTATCCAAAATAGTTTTCATTATTACACCTAAATTTAAGATGTCTTTTAGTAATATTGAAAAAACCGATTTGCTGACATGCTACATTTAATCCGAAAAATACTCTAGGGCTGTAAATACGGTGAACAAAATTACTAAATGCCAAATATCTTGACTTTTGACACAATAATTATTGTATTAATAGAGCAGTTAATGAGTATAATTATGAATTGCATAAGGGAAAAGTTTGTGCCATTTTTATTTTATTATTTTTACTTTATGAGATTACATCAAATACCAATAGAAGGTATTTAAAAATGTTAAATATTATATATTTCCTTTATTATTTGTAATTTTAACGTTATTCATATTTATATTATATTAATTTATTAAAGGAGTGTTTGACTACACATGATAATTGGTAAAATGTGATCTGGTCTCTTTTTATCATTCTACCCTAATAGATAATTACAAGAAACATATAATTTATAAGTTTTTATATTTTATTAGTAATTAAAATGACTAATATAATAAAATAAAGTTTAACAATT